CTCATAGTGATCCTCCTGCCTCAATCTCCCCAGTGTTGGGATTACAGATGTGCAACACCATGTCTGGTTTCGGGATTCCCTAGACTGGCATGGCATGCAGTACCTGGAATCGAACTCAGGTCCCTGTCCTTTCCAGGCAGGTGCTTAGGCCACTGTGCTAGTTCACCAGCCTTCCTTTTTCTACTCTAAAGTGTTTCATGGGAGGCAAAACCTCAAAAGTGTTTCATCATGTGCACGTGTTTCTGTGTGTGTGGGTGTGTGCAGGCCCTTTCTTCCCATGCATTTAACTGCTAATCTCTTTCAGATCCTTTCTTATGTCTATCTTGGTTATTCTATATCAAGTTTCCTTTCCATATGAACCCCACTAGATAAAGAAACATGGTCAAATATCATTTTTGTACTGCTAAAAAAATCTCACCCATAAGTGGGGAAGCAATTTCCAGTTTCCACTTCTACGGAACAATATCAACAACAACAGAAAAAGAACATTCCAAATTGCATCATTCAACAGCTTTTTGAATGAAGGAGCTTTTTCTCTACTAGAATTTCTTGCTTGTACTATAAAGGGAAGAATCACCCACTGAGCCACACAGTGAATTAGTGGAGGAGCCCATGTTAGCGTTCCTGCTGCTTGCATTTTTGCCACTTCTCTGTCCTTTGCTCCTCTCATTTCCTCCTTTTGTCCCTTCCTTTTAGATGGAATTCCTAGATCCTTGGTTCCAATCCCGATTTGCCCCCTTCAGCCTCCCTCAAGCCTTTACCTCATTCCTGTATCACCAGGTGGCTTTTCCATGTCTCATGGTAGCTTTCAAGTTGTCGAGGTGGGCAGTGCCAGGGAGAAGCACTGAGAGCTGTGGTTTTAGAAACTATTATGTTTGAGAGCGTGTGAAATCCTCCCTTGCCTCACAAGCTCAAAACTGTCGCAATCCACATTTTCTTTGTCTTTTACAGCTTTTAAAGTTTCACGTCCAGTAACCACATTTGTACCCAAAGCACATGGATTCTCAGAGTTTGACTAAGCTGATCCTGCAGATTCAATTTCCAGAAATCCCTTCAAGTGTTTAACTAACTTTCTTCACTTTCAAAACTGTCTTTGACAAAAACACAGGGGAAAACAATTGTTCTTGACATCACAACAGTTTAATATATTAACTTATTCATTAAATTGTGCTTCACATCAATGGAAATCTTCAGTTCTACAAACTATCATTTTTAAATAGCAATAAAGGTTGATAATGTCACAATACAATTTCCTAGTAACCAAGTTAATACATATTATTGCACAGAAACAAAAAGAAATACCACTTAGAAGAAATCGTTTACTATCTACTGAATAGCTAACTTTACATCTAAAGTGGGGAATCAGATAATGATCCAGATTTTTCCCTTTTAACATTGATAGGTTAAAAAAAAAACAGTAATAATGCAAGCAAAAAACCAGAAAGTGCTTCAAGAAAATACATAGAAGGAAAAGAAAAACTGGGCACATGATGAAAACAAAAATATGGCAAGGAGATGGAAAACACACATGACATTGACTAAATGACACAAAACCCTGCCCTTGGGAGGACTGGTTTCCCAGGTTAATTTCAGCACTGACATTGGTCCCTTTGATGAATGCCTTCAGGGCAGCAGAACATGGAATTTCCAAGGTTCTACCTGATGTACCAAAGGATGACAGTTGCCGTCTTTTCCATAGCCAACTGGGAGCCCAGGCTCAGGATACATCCATGGGTCCATGTGCTCAGATCAGCATTTTGCTGGGTCTCCTGAAGTGCTTGCCTGGAAGCCCAGGGACTTCTGTGTTGCAGATGTTGCTGGTGTTCAAAGCTGGGCCAGACTTGTGGAAATCTCAGCCCTTTTGCAGGCAGGTTCCTTCTGCCAGTGAGAGGCGCAGAGGGTCCGTACCAGCCCATCACAAGGCTACAAAATACTCAGGTCTCTGATTCCCCTGGCCGCTTGCCACTTGCCTGGAGGAAGGGCTAACTCACAGTTTCCGGGCATTAGTTCAGATGTGTCCTGGCAAATGTGCTGAGGGGGAACTGGCATTGGTTATATCCAGCAGAGATGGTGGATACATTTAGAAAGAAGCCAAGGGTGCCTTTGAGAAAGATCCCCTGTCTGCTTCTTAGATGTCACAAGATGTCCTTGTTACTGTCGGGACCAGCCAGCCCTCATATCCAGCCTGGAGCTGTTCAGTTGGAGTTTTGATGACCAAGGGCAGCAGAATAAGAATGTGAAAAGAAAATCTTACAGTCACAGCTGTGATCAGACCAGATAGTTCTTAAGTCCAACCCAGCTTTCACTTTGATTCTATCCCTGACTCCATCAGCCTTCAGTCCCTAAAGCCATCACAGTCCTCTGATGTTGTGTGAACAGACTCATTCCCTTTTCTGTTCTTTTAAATGGTTCAAAGAATTCCAGTCCACATGTTTCTAGCCTGTCCTTGATCTTATGGGCAGAAACTTTTTCTTAGTCATTTTTTTTTTATTTTTCAGTGTTACTTGGCACATATTTTATTCATCATCTTTTGATCTTTGAAAGATCTACCTCCCTTTCAAGAGTCCCTCTTTCTTCTGTTGGTACCCTGCTCTTCCTAGCCCCCTGCTTTGGCACAATACCATTATACACGACCTTCTCCTCAGCAGAGGTCATGGCTGGGAAAGAATCAGATACACTCTCTGTGTGAAGATGTTCACTTATGACATCTTAGAGCATTTCCTTTCTCAAGAAAATGCGCAAAGGAACTCAGTTAACACCAGATAAAACCTCTAAGAGCTAAAGCAATAAGTTGCAGGTAAAAAGCTGAGGAAGAAGTAGAGAAAGGGAGCTATTTTATGAGCAGGGATTCTATTGATCCACCCTTAAGCTTCTCTAACAGGCAACTACTGATTTCGAAGATTCCTAATGCTACGTTTCCCTAAGGACAGTGTGCATAATCCCTCAGCTTCCTCCTGAGTTTGAATGCACCTCCGCCTTCCTTGAAGCACTGCCCACCTCTTGGGTATTTCACTCCTAATAAGATGCCCCTGGCTGCAGGCACATCTGAGAGTCAACTCGACAGTGTCACTGGCCTTTTGTAGGTCACTGCGGTTCTACAAAAAGGTGAGGGAAGGCATAAATCAATGAAGATTTATATTTCAGATTTTTGCACTTCCTAATCCCAATACTATGTGGAGTAACATGAACTAGGAGGAAAGCCTATGAAATCAAAAGGTAGGAACTCTCAGCAACTTTCTTGCTCATGGACTAGAATCTTTGGGAAATCTCTAACATCTCTGAAGTTCCATTGCACACTAGCAAGTGGGATAATGAATAGAGTTCTCTTTCAACACGCATGAATAAAATAAGACCAGATGAAATGCTAGATGTAAAAATGTTTTGAAAAGCATTATATGCTACACAAAGTGATGAATACTGATCACTTCCTTTGTAAAACATGATGAAATAAATGACATTGAATAGCAGTTGATATATTTTCCACTTCCCTTCTGCATCAGATACTAAGTTTTCATCAGTATTAATTTCCACATTTCAAAATAATAGAACCCACATACTTTTCAAGGCTCCTGGAAAACAGCAAGAAAGACATTTTCTAGTCTTCTCTGCACATAGATGTGTCTAATGTCCAGGTTCCATGGCCTGCGGTATGACCGAAGAAGTATGCACAACTTTCCCCCGCTTCTCCTCTGCTCTCTTAAAAGCCAGTGGCAGGACTTGCGGTAGCCATCTTGCCTTGAGATGGAAACTGTGCATTAGAGTACAAGGAAAATAAGAGTGCATCCGGGCTTCTGTTAACTTCACACGCCAGGTCTATCAGACCAGTTTGTTGACATGAGAGAGAAGAACTTCCCACCCTTTTGAGCATCTGTGTTAAGATGGCCAGCTAGAAATCCCAGCCAATGCACTTAGTATTTATTTTTAAGGATCTGTTCTCACCTTCTTGTAGGCCTATCTGAAAGACTTTCTTCCCAATATTAGTGTTATAGCCACTCAGATTTTTGAAAATGTTACTTTAGAGGTTTAGTAAAATGAGTTTTTATATTTCTAAGCTTTGATCAAGCTATTCATGACACAATTACTGCCTTTGAGGAGAAAAAACACATCTGCACACATTTTTTAATCAATGTACATTATTTCCTTAACTTTTGTCTAACATTGATTGTTAAGATTATCAACTGCTTTCTCCAATTACCATCAGTAAGCTGCCAAAAACTAGCAGGAGGCATAGTACATATCTTAGTTCTTAATAAAATTGAAACATAAAGGCATGTGCACACATGCATGTACACACACACACACACACACACACACACACACACACAGATTCCACTTTGGTTCTTGGTGCTTGCATTGGCATATGCACCTGGGCACAGTCAAAAGTAGACAGAATGTGGAGCTACTTGGGGACTGATGAATGGATGGAGTTTTCTCTCTTCTTTGGCTTTGAGTTATAACATATTCGGAGCTGGCTTAGTCTGGTAACTTGGGGCTGCAGTCTTTAGGCCTAGGTGCCTTCCACTGGCATCCTTCACCTGAGTGTCCCTCTGCATGCAGGTATATAGTGGACTTTTGGAGGCTACACTGTGTCCCTGCTCCACCACGTCTATGAACAGAGGACCCCAGTGATGTGACTAGAGTGCTACTGTAGAATAGAATGACGTGAGGGAAAAGCCCATGTTGGTTCTTTAATTTGCTCAGCACAGGCCTCTTGCCAGCCCAAGGAGGGGTGTCTCCTCTGCACACCCTGCTATCCTGCTATCTGCTCTCAAGTGGAGCATCATACATCAAGCCTGCTGCTGCAAGAAGGCCTTTTGATATAAATCCCAAAGTGTCTGAGAAACAGGGGGAGTTAGTAGGGGCTGCCTCCAAGTCTCAGCTATGCATGATTTCCCTGCCAAAGAGTAAAAGTGAAATGAGAACAAATAATCTGAGTGCTTTCTAGCTTGTTTTGATTTTTCACATGACAAAACACTGAGTTGTTATTCTGTGTGTGTGTGTGTGTGTGTGTGTGTGTGTGTGCATGTGTGCAACACAGTGACAGGCAGAAGGATAATTCTCAGGCTTTCTGTCCTAGCCAGAGCATTAGATCACAAGAAGGGAATGAGAAGATGGAGAGAGCTGCTCATTAATCCCTGCTGCTGTGTTCCTGCCTTCCTGCCGGGGAGGTCGACTCAGACATCTCCTGAGCCCTCATCTCTACCAATTAATGAGTGATGTGTTGCTGGCCCTTTAAATGTACTCACTCTTGTGTACAGGTACAAAAGCACAGCTGCCTGAAAAGGTATCGAATACAGCTCAACAATGTGGAGGGGACTTCCCCAAGGACAGCACAGTTGGTTCACTTCCAGTTTGGTGCTCTCTTGCTGCTAGTTTGCACCACCTACGTAGGCCAGAGACAACTACTCTGCGGCAATAACAGCTGATGCCTTGCATGATTGGCAAGGACCCTGATGCAGCAGGAGCCCGTGTCCCACACAGATCACATAGTAGGGGCGAAGCAGGCCTGGCTGACAGCAAGCCTTCCTTACAATCCAGGAGGAAATGACTCACTGTCTGTGGGCTGCACTATTGTTGTATGAAATGAGACTAACAAAAGCTGCTGGGGGTTGCAGGTATGAGAAAGGCCTCCTTCAGTTTGTGACAGAAGGGAGCCCCCAAGCATGTCTTCCCTTTTGCCACAGGAATAGCCAAGGGCAGTGAGAGAGGTTCCAAGGTGCATCTCCAGATCTGTATTTGATGGGCAAGCTGGGCTCCCCTCTCGCAGGTAGAGCTCCTCAAATGCTTGTGGGTTGATTAACTCTCAACCCCAGAGAGAGTATTCTGGAGGCTGAGAAGTGGCTTATGTAAAGCTGGCTTAAACATCAAACATGTCGGACATCAATGGAATAGGATTTTCAATCTGATTTAGGGTTTTCACTCATTTTGCCTTCAGCTCCTTGAAGGAATTGATCATATCAATTTGTTGTGAAATTTTCTACCCGCTCTGATCATTCTTCTTGATGTGAGCTAAAAGCTTTCAGCTCCTTCCTCCGTGCTTCACCCCCTATTATTCATGAACTTTTCATTATTTTAGTTGTGACTGGGGGAAGGCAGAAATTGGGGCACTTGGCAACATACTACATTTTGGGGGTCCAGTTTAATGTACTGTACCTGATTCACTGTCTGCAGCCACAGTGTAAGATCAGGTAAAGATCACGTGGGAGAAAAGAAGCTACCAGACTGCAGACACTGACAGTGCTGGAATGTTGCTCTGTCTGATGCCATGGGACAACTGTCCCATGAATGGGTCCATGTGGTTTGGCCACAAAGCGAGTTATTATCCATTTAGTACCCTTAACTATGTCTGGTGTACATTCTAGTTATGCTCCTGTTTTTTAGGTCAAGTTCCTTTTAAACAGCATTTGCTTTGTGATGGTGGAATTCCAGGCCTGGCAGTGCCACATAAGAGAAATGACTGCCCTACACAAGGTACTGTGAAATAGTATTTTACAGAGGAAAGTCCTATAGTTGTCCTGGAGGCCTTAGACACATGGTATTTCTCCTGATTATTTCTGCTTTTAATTGTTCATTCTTTTCTCACACTGACAATGAAAGTGGTTAGATGTGATCTGCTCACATGTGTGTAAATAAGCTCTCCTAAATGCCCCATAATGAGTATTTCTCAGGGACCACAACCCCTGCTCTACCACGTCATCTCCTATGTTCTGACCAAGAAGAAGGAGCAAGGCAAACAGTTCTGCTGCCATGGATTTTAGGATGTGGATCTCTAGAGATGATCAGTAGTACAGTGGTTGTGTTTAAAATCAACTGCAGCAACAAAACCCGTTACTTATGATATAAACCATATTCAAACAAAGTTCAAAGTTCAAAGATGAGGACTGGCAGCCCTGGAAGGGTTGGTGTCCAACCTCATCTAAGGGCACAAGGGTCTTTCTTTCTCTCTCTTTGAATGGACCGGTATTTCCATGCCAGTACAAAACAGTTGCAGCACAGCATCCAAGGCAGTCATTTGGCTTTTCCCTTGTGGCACCCCCGGGCTTGGCACCCACACACTCATCAGAAGTGAGACTGCGTTTACTGCTGTTGTCCTTGACTTTCTAAAGCGGTCTACACCAGATGCATTCCTACGCTACTTAAATGTCAAGGAAATAAAAGACCAAGATGGAGAATCTCCAACAGGGTAAAAATAAAGACAGAGAGGAAGTCCATGTCCGCATCAAGCTACAGCCAGCCAGAGGTCCTCAGAATGACCCCGCTGCTCCATGGTTACACAACTAGATCAGCGCACATCTTGCTCATCTCCGCCTCCAGAGAGAGGAGTGGGTGGGGGTCACCATCTCACCACCTGGCTGTTGTAGTCCTCGGTGACAGCTCCCTCTGAGGCTCCACCTTCTTTGGGCCACCGGTGGGCCCTGTGTTCCCGCTGCAGCCTCCGCTCCTCCCTTCGCTTTTGGCGGTCCCTCTGGTGCCCCAGCCTCTTGGTGTGGTGGTAGCGTTGCTGGAAGAGATCTTTTGCGTACTCATAGAGCTGCACATCCAGGAAATTCAGCTCCTCGATGCGCTGGCGGGCGCCCTCATTGATCTCCACGTTTGAAGCCCGCGTGATATTGAATTGAGTGAAGGGGGAGATGAACTTGAGGTTGAATGTCCTTTCAAAGAGAAACTGTGTCTTCCTCTGGAATTCGGTGAGCCCGAAGAAGGCCATGTTCTTTAGGTTGTTCTTTGCACTCTGCAACAGGATGGTGTTTCTCTCACTCTCGTTCATGAAAGTCAAGTTGTAGCAGCCCACCAGGCTGAGGTCAGCCAGCATGCGCACCTGGCGGTTGTTGGCCAGGTTGTAGCTGCAGTCCATAAATTCCCGCAGGCTGACCCCAGACCAGTCATCCCCAGGGTAGCAGGTGGGCAGCTCATCAGGGGTGGGGCTTCTTCCATCACACATGTGGAGAGAGGTTTTCCACGTGGCCCCTCGCTGGACATGTTTCCACTCGCTCAGGTACCTTGACACTGGATCCCGCAACATTGTGATGTAATAGAAATTCCTGGAAGAAACAGAGGAAGAGTAGTTGATAACTCAAACAGCAAGATATACTGAAACTTGGTGATTTCTACATCAAAGTTGAGTCAATGGTTCTTCTGCCAGATGCTCAATGGAGGTCATTTGCCTGGATTTGTATCTATCAAGTGCATGTGCACATATTTCCATGAAGACAGTGAAGCCAGTCTTCAATTATAAGTTTGCCGGCCTTTTTCTCCTCATTCAAGTGTGAAGAGGAATGGCACGGAAGGATTGGATCATTTATTCATTTAGCAATTGTTCATTGACAAATTACTAATGCCAATGTCTGACATTTAGAGACAACATCATGATTTTTAAGATTTATTGCCTGTTTGCTACTTTAGTTGATCCTTATAACAGGTTTTGCAGCAGGTCGGTTCTATGAAGAAGGAAAAACTCAAGGAAGTAAAGTGATTTACTCAAGGTTAAGGAACTAAAAATGGCAAGGCTGAAAGCCAGTTGTCCCTTGCCTCTCTTTACTCTGTTATTTTGATTATGAGGTAGGTGGGGCAAGGGAAGTGTCAGCCATGCACCCGGCCTTGTCACCAGAAGTGGCAGGGCAAAGCTTGAAAGTCCACTTGTCACAAAAGCCATAGAAAGGACCTCAAGAGTAGCACTCTGGACTCAGACCTCCGAGCTGTTGTTTTGCTCTAGCATCCCACTTTGGCTTCTGCCCTTCCACAAACCAGTCTGATCACAATTACCCTCCATCCCCATCTAGGTCTAGTCCCTTGGCCACTGAGGTGCACCTGCTCCAGAAATACAGGATCACTCATACTAACTCGGAGATATCCTGGGGAGACAAAAGTGTTCTACAATGCTTTGAAAAGACTGGTAGGTCTTCCTTTATGCCTCCACATGTGACTCCATGCTTTAGAGTCCTGGAATGTTGGCTGGTGCTATGTTTGCCTGACCACTGTAAAATGGTCCCAGTGTGATCTGCAATGGCCTTCATGGCATACAGGATTGACCAGGAAAAACCAGACCGACACTGCTTGGCCAGTACAAAGCCAGGCCATTTTTGCTTATTAGCTGCTCTTTGAAGAAACTTGGCAATACTATAAATATACAGACAAAATGACAGCTAGGTAGAGAGTCTGCTGGGGAATGACTTTTGGTTATGCTTACATCATGTTTCTATCTGTCAAATATTTTTGTTATCAGGCAGTTGTAGGTATTACTAGGTGGGATCATCCCTGTGTTGTCAAGCATATATATTTCATTTGGAGATAAGTGGTGGTATATCTGATTGTATAATTAAATCAAATGGTGTCTGAAGCCTTGAAAAACTAAAAGAAACAAGATCAGAGGGGTTGGGAAGTCGCTCTTTCTGCTTCAGCCTCACTGCTCCCCCCAACTTTGTGCTGCAGATGGAGGCCATGGCATCAGGGCAGATTCTAAGCTGAAGAGAGCTTCTGCATCTCCCACTTCCCAAGTAACCTTGGGCAAGACAATGTAATCATTGCTTTAAAAGGAATGATGGAAAGAGAAGAGGTAATAGAAAACTATAAACCATTTTGGTGCGTGTGTGTGATAACACAGTATGCATGGAAACAACAGAAAGCTCAATGGAAAAACTAAATGAATGGAAATGAACCCATCCTAATTCCCAAGGAAGGGCATCTAGGAGGGGTTAGGAAGTATATGAGGAAAGGATAAATGGTTGCAAGCTTATATTCTAGTTAAAGGAGACACTTTATTCAAGTTTGCTAACTAGTCACTCCTATACCACTCATAAGGAATACTTCTTGAGATTTGGAGGTAAAATTATTCTAATTTTGTTTTAAGTTGCACTAATACCAGTTCTATTTAGATAAAGATGCAACACTTTAATGCCAATTGCTTTCCCCGCAGGTCGTCACCAAAAACCTATGATGTTCCAAACTTGGTACATGTCAGGCATTGTGCTAAGGACATGGTCCATTTCAACAGCCCTGGGAGGTAAGTGCACACTGTTCTGTTTTTAACTTAGTATTGAATGCACTAAGAATTTGAGGAGACAAAATAACCTATCCAGGGTTGCCTTGGTAATAAATTTCAGAACTTGAATTCTCTCTCCCTCCTTCCCTCCCTCCCTCTCTCCCCCCTCTCTCTCTCTCTCTACCTCTCCTTTTCCCCTCCCACTCCCTCCCTCTTTTCCCTCCTTCTAGCCATTAAAGGAAAGTATCTCATTTCATAGGAAATACCCTAATACTTGTTCTATCTAGTTGGCCAAGCTAAACTGGACAGAAAAAAAGGCATGCCCTGTAAATGCAATGGAAATAAAAGAAATGTAAAGGCAAAATGTTTATGTTTAAGTCTTTTAAGAGGAATTGATGAACTGCACTATTTAAAACTTTCTCCTCTTCCATATTCAGTTCATTTGACTATATCACCTCACCAGTAGAGAATTCAATGTTAAAATGAGCTAAAGAAACTTTAATGTCTTAAATAATATTCACTTCCCTTTCAATTGTAGAAAAGAATTTGTTGAAACTGCTAAGGATATACCAACCTCAGCCCTAGCTTTTGCCAATTACTTCCTTACATTACTCAGATGTTTTTTCAAGAGAAGAAATAACTTCTATCAGTGGAAGAAAAATGTCCTAAAATGTCAGTAGGGGAAGCAAGAAAAGGCTGACTTAGCTTTGGGCTCCACAAGGAAATGCTGGCGATAAAGTTTTGCTCACAGTGGCTATTACTGTTGTTGAGCATTCGATGACATGCCAGCATTAATCCTACTCTAGCCTTATGTCTGGACGTGTTCACATTTCAATTACAGCAGCAGAGACAGATTTTTATTTCACAAAACAAAGGGTCAATAAATATGTAAATCAAGTAATGATGATAGTGACATAAACCATTGGATTAAGGATGTCAAATACCTCAAGACAGAAGAATTGAAATCAGAAAGATCATTGAATTGAGTCAAGTTAGACCACAAATAGAAAATTTCTAGCTTTCCTTTAAGGAGGCAAAATAGAAATCCTACAAAAAGATTTACACAATAACAGAAAGCCATCCCATCAATTTATAAGGTGCAATCTCATTTATTACTCTCAAGTTTTATATGGTCAAGAGTTAAGAAATAACCATAAGAGTTGCAAGCTCTTTGAGTTGTGAATTACAAAGAGTGGAAACATAAACATTTAACTGAAGAAGTCAATGAATTTAATGAATATGAAGGTTTTGTGTCCCTTGGGAAAATTGGCCATTGACATTTGGATAATTTTGTTCCTCTGGGGCTCTGCATTGCCTTCAAGCTAAATGGTGCAAGAGTAGGCTTAAAATGATCTTGGATTTAAATTTGTTTAGCTTAATACTTCACTTTACAATGTGCAGCAAAGTCTCCAGGAAGATATTCACTAAATTAGGGACTTCTGAATGAATAGAAATATATATCCATTCTGAGATTCGCCTCACAGAGTTCTTGGCTTGGTACAATTGGAAGATGGTGAAACTTTGAAGAAGTGTTGCCTAGTGCAAAAAAGGTAGGTCACTGGGGACATACCTGTGAAGGAGATAAGGGCTCCAGGCCACTTCCTGTCTCATTCTGTTTTACTTCCTGGCCACTGTGAGGTGAATCATGCACTATCTGAATATGAATTCAAAATAAACAGTGCCAAGTGGTCTCAGACCAGAACTCCGGAAGCTATGGACCAATAGAAGCATTTCCTTCTTAGGAAATGGTTGCTGTTTCAGGTGTTTTCTCATAGTGACAGAAAGCCATCTACTTACTTCCCCATTCATAAACAATGGAAATTCACTTTTTTTCTATTTTAATAACTCTCAATTCAATTTTTCATGATGACATTGAAAGGCTTCAGTACTACAGAAATTTATGCCTTTATTTTTTAGGCCTAACTTTCTCAATAGCACAATGGAATAAGAAAGTTATTTTTCAAATGGTAACATAAAGTAGAGGAGAAGGACAATGAACTCAAATACTGTGGTGGCCATAATACAAAACACATTCATTGACATCTGTTTTTTCTAACTTAATTTCTTAAGACAAATTATCATTTATATATTAATCTTTAATAGGTGATCTAAACTCTTTCCAGATTTTGGAAAGATAAATAAATAAATTAGTGTTCCTCATTTCATGAATTCATTCATCCATTCATCCATCCATTAATTCATTCATTCACAACACTCTACGTGTTAATTGATCCACCTCTGCTTACCAAGTACTGAGATTAGTCATAGAGGACACAGAAATTAGTAAGACATTGTCCTCAAAACACCTTGGGTACCTAATGATTTTGATAAAGTAAAAGAAGTGCTAACCGCTAAGTTTAGGGACAGCTTTGCCAATGTCCCTGGACCAGAACTATCCTTAAGACAGATAACTTTGGTAGTCTTGGTGACAGCGCACCGTGCACAGATTTTTCATTTGCCACTTACTTCATCAAAATCTTGGGTGAATTCATTTAAGAAAGTCTAACTCTAAAGTAATTTAAGCTCTTTGGAATTCTCTTTTGTGTGGTCCCAGGGTGAGAATGGCAACTACTTGGGTAGTCAGAACGGTCAGGGAGTGGGTGTTTTGTTAGTCCAGTAATTACTTTAACAGATCATTGTCATATGGACCACCATAGCTTAATGAAGTTGAGATATGCAGAACATTCATGTTTCATGGCTGGTTTAAATTCACTTTTAGTTTTTTTGTTTTGCTTTAATGTAATCACATGAAATAATTCAAAACAAATTTGGTCTTGCTGCCTTCCCTCACTAGGGACGTCTCTGGCTTTCCCTTTCCTCACTTGTTCCTGGCTCAGCTTTTCTGACCCAGCTCAGAGCTTGCATCCACCCACCCAGACTTTTTAGTCTGTAGCATTTCCCCCATCATGCATTGTAGTTTTAACTTTTATGTAAAAGTTGGGCACATCGAATATGCCAAGTTCCTTTGTATACAAATGAATGACCATTTTGTATCTGTGTATTCAAAATAGTTAGGATAGATGTACAGCTGCATTCTCTTAATTCAATGAATAGAGAGATTTG